GCATGCTTAATGAGAAACTTTGGATGTAATGAGCTGAATTAAGGTTTCTGGGGCATTTGAAAGCTTATTTACAAAATTGGCACAAGCATTGTTTTCCAAAGGCTGCAGATTAGATATGCTGATAACTCAGCTAACAAAGATGGAAAATTTCAGTGCACAGCACAAATTTGTGACTGCATGTAAAGTATTTACCAAAATGACTGGTTCAGGGTTTGGTGTTGTGATAGTCCCTTAATGAGGCTCAGTAAAGGATGATTAGTTTAAGGAGAATGAGTGGAAGGTGGCACAAACCTGTGAAAGGCTGCATCAAGGAGATGCAAAGCTAGCACCAAGTATACTTTAGATTTTTAATTGTTTAAGTTGCCAACTGCAAACATGAGTTATCCCAATTTTAATGGATGAACTCTGCCATCCAAGTGTTCCAAGGTGACTTCCTGTCTTCAAATGTTGGAAATTCTACACAGTAGTTGCCCACAATAGTATGTGTGTAATTCAACTTTTTACTGCTTTTGCATTCATTGTGAACTAGTTACTTTCTTTCACATGGTACTTTTTGGTAAGGCACTCAAAGTTCATACTAGTAGCAACTGCTTCAAAATGCACTTGTGATTTTGGTACATCATTCCTAAAGCTGTATGTTACCTTCAACATCAAACCTTGTGGAACTCCAAATATTGCAGGTTCTAGAAGCACAGCCAAGCATACCAGTGGCTACTACTATCATCCTCTATGTGGTTCTTCTTGCCTTTGTTCTAAGCATGCACATAGAAGCTTGAGTACATTGACAAAGGGTTGGTCAATACACCATTGTGGCCTTCCCACATTTCAATGTCAATTGGTCCACCCTGATGAGAGCAATAGTATTAGAAAGTGGGGATAGATGATAATAACCTGCTGTTGATTCTACTGGGTCACAATATAAGTTATGGGTAATTATAAATATTCTTGTTAATCTTCAGTAACCATAAGTTGTAATATGCTGAAACATTCCCCTTTCATCTATGGATTCTGCACCAGCCTAGATGTATGCCTTCATGCATGCAGATTGACTTTCACAGTGCCATTCATATTACCCTAATCTGGGTCCAAAAGTTTTTGAGTTGCTAAAATTGACAAAAGTCCATTCATACAGATTTGTTACCCATCCACAACAGCTGCATTGACAACAAATTTTTGTCCAAGGGGAAGTTTGCTTCTTCCCTGTTACACCAATCCTATGAATCATTTGTAGAAGTGTGTCTTCCAGTCTAGACAGTTGCATGACTAGTAATTCTGGTGCATGATTGATTTTATGAAACTTAATTGTTCAAGTCATGTTGATTTAGATTTAAATGATCACAAACAGACACTGAAGTGAAGGAGGTTATGGGATGCAACATATGCTTCCAGTTTTGTGTTCTACTCTTGAGGTGGACATTCAAGCCTTATCTTCCTCCAAGTTTGTTGTTGTGTATATGTGGTGTACCCTTTGGTTACATTTGTGCATGATCTCACACCTTATAGCTAAGTAGTTTGTAACTTGACAGGTTTAATAAGCTCATACAGATGACCACAGGTATGTTTCAGACATGTCTTGTCAAATCTGTGTGGTTGACAACAGTATGTGCATGTCTGCAGCAGAAAGAATTACAATAATGGTTCAGTGACAGAGCTGGTTCTCCTGCATTGAGAGAGGCTTTCTAATATGTACAGCATGCAAGAATCTCAGAACATTCCCTTAAATGTGTAATGAGCTTCTCTATAGTTGCTCTCATGCATTTAGTTGACTCTTGTTGTTATAAAATTGGATAAACATAAAAGTTTCCTCATCCAAAGTCACACAAGTACATTCAGGACTTATCATTAGCTTTGAAACCTGTCTGTCTTGAGCATTATTGTGCAATTGATGTCTGAGTTGATGTGTTAAACTGTTTGTTTGTTGTTGTTTTAGTCATGAACCTGAAGGCATCAGAGGCTCCTGCCATTATCCCTACAACAGTGTTAGTATTGTGGCTTTGCCTACAGTGAGCAAATGTATGACTTGTTACTTTCTTACCTTGGGTGATAATTAATTAGTGAAGTAATCTACACCTTGACTGTTCAAAATTAGATCTATGCTTGTGATATGTATCTTGTGCTCTTGCAGTTGAAAAGAATGTTCACATTTTGGGATGGCTCAGTAAATAAGTTTTCTAATAATTTGGGTGCAGATGTACTGGATTGTAAGTTATTGGGTTGAAACTAGGGGTCCATAAATTGATTGCACAATAGATCTCTCTCACATTTTGTTGATTAATCCAATTTTAACTTGCACTGCTTCAGCCTGTTGGAACTGCATCTTGGAACCATTGTGTTACAAGTCTTGAGCTCATGTGTGTTAGTTTGACAAAGAAGAGATGGTTGTACATGATTAAATGTGGAAAATTTTTAAAGATAGTAGATCATCTTTATGATAACATTGCTATTTGGTGAATGCATATCAATTGAGGAGTTAAATGTATTCTCTTGAGAACATTATCTGAATGAGGAAAGAGGTTTAGGGTTTGGGGATGCAATGTTGTTTGTTTACTTGAAAAGATCTAGTTAAAGATAATGTTCTCAAGAGATACTTCTGACTTGAATCTTGCCAAAAAGGATCTGGAGCTTGATCCCCAATCGAGTTAACCATAGGATGGCCTTGAACTACTTTCCAGTATCCTACTAGTTAGTGAAATGTAAATACATGATGAAATTTTATTTTCAATTATTTTAAAAAAATTAAACACTTTCATACACTTAGAAAGTTAAAGATAAAGGTAAAAACTTAGACATGCAATACTAATATTTTTATGTCAAAGTAACAACATTCTTTAAGCAAAACACATACCATTCACAGTTGCTAACGTGCGAAAATGGAGATTGAGCCCATGCAGCAGAAAGTATCAAACAGGAGATCACAAATTAGCGACAGGCCCGAGCTTTCTTCACAGTTACCAGAGCATCGACAGCAAGCTCCCTCAACTGGAAATAAATAAATAAACAACAAACAAACAATAGAATACAATAAAATAAAAGGGCACACAGACTGTGTCAGGATCAGCCCAGCATCGAAAGAGAAGCTTCTGTGTTTTTTTCTTTTTCCCATTTTTTTCTTCCAGCTTGGTAGATAAGCACGTTGGAAATGACTGCCTCAAGCGAATGGTAAGAAGAACAAGGAGGAATATGCTTCCAGAGCCAGAATATGCGTACAGACAATCACCTCATCCGTGCAGAAAGCATGGAGCTGCCAGGATCCAGACGTGTTGCCGTTCCCATTATCAACAACGTCGGGACCAATCTGGTTGTGCGTCACTGGTGGAAGGCGCGGCAGACCCACACACGAGTCGAAAAAAACCCGATTCTCCAGAGCTTCGAAGACGACGTCCGCCCTTGAAGACATGGGAATATGCTGGCAGTGGGATCGAGTGTGGAGGCAGTGGGGATGTGAAGTGGATACAGAGAGAGTGTGTGGCCTTGCGCAACGGCAAATCCTACACACCTAATGGTCAAGATCGAAGACATGGTCCATTTCCCCTTTTGTTTTTTAGGGTTTTACCTTCAAGGATAATGTTTACGAGTGAGAACGTTCTGCCTATGAAAGATCACCCATCATCTCCAGCCTTTGTCCAAGTCAGGGGCTCTAGCTCCATCGAAGTTAGAGGACAGGGGTTTGAAGAGCCATCCAGAGAATAGTGGCACTCAAAAACCAACGTAAATCAGTACTACGACAAAGATCAGCTTGTTTTTTCTGCGTCTGAATTGACTAATTCGTCCTCACGATCTGAAGAATTTTTCCATGGCAGCAGTGCCGAGTTAAAAAAAAAAAAAAAAACTTTCAAGCTCCCAGCTGTGCCCACGATTTTGCAAAACCTGAACAGTCTGGAAATGGATCCCGCCTGAACGGTCGAACTTGAAGCAGAACTGCACACTATTCTCATGTGCCGAACTGCTAAAATGGCCTGGAACTTAAGTGGCCAAACCAGGATTCGATGCTTCCAGTGGCAGTCAACTGGTAGCGTCGCTATTTCCATTCCACTCACTTGATTCAAGAGAAATCACGCTGTCCCAATTCTCTTCTTCTTTTCCTAACATTTACTTGCAGCCACGGTCAAGAGTGAACAGAAAATCTGCATGACGCATCCAACAAATAATTTAATCTATCTGTGTGGTAAAAACACCAAAGGTCACCGCAATGGACATTCCATGACTGCCTCTTCAGTACATTCCAAACTATCAGAAAAAGAAGGACAGGAGAGAAAGAGAGAAAAAAAAAGAAAAAAAGAAAAAAAAAAGAAAAAAAGGAGAATAAATTAGTTAATGCCGAATCGGAATGTATCTCTTTAGAAAACCCTTATTTCACATTGAAAAATAATATTGGCTAACATGATCGATGTGTGTCTTAGAATTATCGATGCCGGGATTTAGGATGGTCTCGTTATTTTTAATCTCGAAAAGTAAACACAAAAAAAAGGAAAAGCGGTGAATGCAAAAAGAGAAACTAGGAAGAGGGGGGGAGAAAAATTGCACTCCGCTGCTTCGATGCCTACGCGTGCAAAGTGCTGTGGTGCGTTTTGAACCCATTGAAGATCGCCACCAAATTTAGCGAACGGCCACTTCTAGATGCGGAGCGGTACTCGCCTAAATTTGAGCTAGTCGTTAAACCTTACCCAGAAGCGCCCAATCTGACTCATCCCCGTCCCAGAGCCTCGCGCCGAACTCTGCCCAAATCCAACCAAAGATCGTCACCGCGTCGCACCCTGGCTCGGCGGCTGCTGCTCCCCCGATATCGCCATTTGGAACGAACCTAGTCCCGGTCCGGTGTCCGAACGCAGGGACAATTTTCCGAACCGACCTCCGAACCTACTGTAAAAGTTCCGACACGTACCCAGCCGGAAGGAGCATCACTCCGGAATATGTCCTGCGTCCAACTTCCAACCCTGCGACAGCAGATCCCGGACCGATAGGCTTGGTTCCGAGCTTGGAAGCATAAGAGAGGACTACGAGGACGGAGAAAGCTTCTTCATTTTGGCAGGCACCAGCCACCGCTGCTGAGTTGTCTGACCTTGAGAGTTCAATAATTTCCCACACCGTTTCTGCAATAGCTTTGGATTGCTGACCGCACGCCGCGATGGTACTCGGGACGACGTTCGTGCTGGTCTTTGTGCCAGCATCGGCCGCCGTTGGCATTTTGTTTGCCCTTACGCAGTGGTACCTTGTGTCTTATGTCACCGTAGGTAAAAGCCGTGTCTCCAACAATGGCTACATGCAAGTGGACGAGGACGGCATTGACGACGCCAGCGTCAATGCGAAGTGCGCTGAAATCCAGGCCGCCATCTCTGAGGGTAAGTTTCCAACAATCGAGCTGAACTTATGGCTTTCTTGACAGCTATTCTGTGTGTTGTAGACCGAACCGTGGAATTAGGTGCCTGGGGTTTTCTTGCGGCCTTCTCATTTCACGAATTTTTAAAGAAACGAATGTGCGCTCAACCCCCTGTTTTGCACTATTTTTGTTAATCGTTTCGTGGCTGAGATTTATGGCTCCTGTCTTCTAAATGGAGTTCCTAATGTACTTTCCTTGGTCTAACCTTAACTCCTTCGTTTATAAATAATGGTACTCGCGACTTCATAGTTCCGTGATGGACTTCTATCCAAGTTTGGCTAGAAAACCTGCATGACTATTTCTCACTGTCAACCAATGCCCGTAAATATTTCAACTCTTCTCAATCAGTTGTCAGAATTTCGATCGAATATTACTCTGTAACCTCTCGGTTGCTTGCGAATTTAAGTGCGTAAATGTTCAAAGAGGTGGTCAATCAACAGAATTTGTCGCTTCACGATTAAATACACAGTATATCAATTTTTAACAATATGCATTAATGACATGGTTTATTGGGACATTCGTTCTCCGCTAACGCTCCTCACTCATAGCGCTCTGAATATGATGTTGGTTTACCTATTTAACTGCCATGCATCTGAGTGTAATGTCCACACCTGTCGCTTCAAGAAAGCGAACACATTAACGTTCTGTTTCGAGACACTTACTGCTGATTTAAGGTCCAATCATTAAAGTGATATGAATTGCATCTCATGTGCATCAGTACTTGCGATACAAAGTCACAGACTGGCCTCCGTCGTCGGGTCGTTGAAAACCCTTGCATTCTGGCAGTTACACACGGCAAGCATAAAAAAACACAAAATGTAACACCCTGCTGAATTGATCGCCTCTGCAGGTTCCGAGGCGTTCTTGACGACAATGTACACGTACTTGGCAATCTTCATGGGGTTGTTCTCCGTGATCATCTTCGTGTTCCTTGCCTCCGTGGGCGGGTTCAGCTTCGATAGGCAGCCATGCGACTACGACCAGACGAAGTCGTGCCCTTCGTCCATTGCGAGTGCTTTCTTCAGCACTGTGGCGTTCATTCTGGGAGCACTGACATCGACGCTGTCCGGGTACTTGGGGATGAAGATCGCGACGTACGCGAACGCTCGGACGACCCTGGAGGCCCGCAAGGGTGTGGGGAAGGCGTTCGCGATCGCGTTCCGGTCGGGAGCCGTGATGGGATTCCTGCTGGCTGCGAACGGTCTGCTTGTGCTGTTTTTGACGATTTTGGTGTTCAAGTTGTACTTCGGCGACGACTGGGTTGGTCTGTACGAGGCCATCACCGGGTACGGTCTGGGAGGATCTTCGGTGGCCCTGTTCGGGCGCGTGGGAGGAGGAATCTACACGAAGGCGGCGGACGTGGGCGCGGACTTGGTGGGGAAGGTGGAGCAGAACATCCCCGAGGACGACCCCAGGAACCCGGCGGTGAGTGGGCGGAAGTGCGTGGTGGTTTGGGAGGGGAGGGGATGGTGGGGAGTGGGAGTTGTATTGGGAGGAGCTGACATGACATGGGGGTGGTGAGGATGGCAGGTGATTGCGGACAACGTGGGAGACAATGTGGGAGACATCGCGGGAATGGGCGCGGACCTGTTCGGGTCATTCGCTGAGTCGACGTGCGCGGCGTTGGTGGTGTCATCGATCTCGTCGTTCGGGAACGACAAGAACTTCGTGGCGATGTGCTTCCCTCTGCTGATCAGCTCGGCGGGTATTTTGGTGTGTTTGTTGACGACGTTGGTGGCGACGGACATAATGAGCGTGAAGGGAGTGAAGGAGATCGAGCCGACGCTGAAGAGGCAGTTGGTGATCTCGACGGTGCTGATGACGGTGGCGATATTTTTGATATCGTGGTTCGGGCTGCCGGAGACGTTCACGATCAACGTGGTGGGGCACGAGGCGAAGGTGGTGAAGAACTGGCACATATTTTTCTGCGTGGGATCGGGTCTGTGGGCTGGGCTGATCATCGGGTTCGTGACGGAGTACTTCACCAGCAACGCGTACACGTAAGTGGCGGGGTGGTGGTGGTGGTGGTGGTAATGGTGGTTAGAGGAGGAGGATGGGGAGTGACATGGTTGGATGGGGAGGGGTGTGCAGGCCTGTGCAAGACGTGGCGGACTCGTGCAGGACGGGAGCGGCGACGAACATCATCTTCGGGCTGGCGCTGGGATACAAGTCGGTGATAGTGCCGGTGTTTGCGATCGCGGTGGCGATCTATTTGAGTTTCAGTTTGGCGGCGATGTACGGGATCGCGGTGGCTGCGTTGGGAATGCTGAGCACACTGGCGACGGGTCTGGCGATCGACGCGTACGGTCCGATCAGTGACAATGCGGGAGGTATCGCGGAGATGGCGGGAATGAGCCACGAGGTTCGGGAGAGGACGGACGCTCTGACGGCGGCCGGGACACGACGGCAGCGATCGGGAAGGTGAGCGGAGGGGGTCGCGTGGAGGTGTAGAATGTGTGTGTTTGAAGTTGGGATGAGTTGGAGAATGAGGAGGTGGTGGTGACACGATGACATGAGATGGTTTATGGTGCAGGGATTCGCGATCGGGTCGGCAGCGCTGGTGTCGTTGGCGCTGTTCGGGGCGTACGTGAGCAGGGCGGGAATCGCGAGCGTGGACGTGATCCAGCCGAAGGAGTTCGTGGGGCTGATCGTGGGAGCAATGCTGCCGTACTGGTTTTCGGCGATGACGATGAAGAGCGTGGGGAAGGCGGCGCTGGCGATGGTGGAGGAGGTGCGGAGGCAGTTCAGGACGATCCCGGGGCTGATGGAAGGGACGACGAAGCCGGACTACAAGAGGTGCGTGAAGATATCGACGGACGCGTCGCTGAAGGAGATGATTCCGCCGGGCGCGCTGGTGATGCTGACGCCGCTGATCGTGGGGACGCTGTTCGGCGTGGAGACGCTGGCGGGGCTTTTGGCGGGTGCATTGGTGTCGGGAGTGCAGGTGAGAGGGGTGTGGGATGTGGTTTGGTGAGTGGGGTGACGGAGGTGGGAAAAGCGAAGGGGAGTTGACGGGAGGGGGATGTGTGTGGGGATGTGGCAGATCGCGATATCGGCATCGAACACGGGAGGAGCGTGGGACAACGCGAAGAAGTACATCGAGGCGGGGGCTTCGGAGCACGCGAAGAGTCTGGGGCCGAAGGGGTCAGACGCCCACAAGGCAGCAGTGATCGGGGACACGGTGGGAGACCCGCTGAAGGACACATCGGGACCGTCGTTGAACATATTGATCAAGCTGATGGCTGTGGAGTCGCTGGTGTTCGCACCATTTTTCGCTGCGAACGGTGGATGGCTGTTCCGAGGTTGAGCATTGGTGCTGTTGCGTGTTTTCACTTGCACATAGGCGTACAATGTTCAGGAGTTAAGATTTTGTAGCCTTCTTTCAGGGACTCCTGTGTAATACATTATATTCTCATACCAGTATAAGCTTTTCAGTATTGTAAAGATCAGATGATTTGTTTGGTCAGCACGTGGTGGAGTACAATGGCTATATTCTGTTTGCAGGGCATCTGCTCTCCATTTCTCTGTTTGTGCCGGGATATTTGTAATTTGATCCATTGCCTGAGCGGCGTTCTTTATTTCGTATTTTATATGCTCAATTTATGACAGCTTTTTTTTGAATGGTTGCCGTCGTTGCGAATTTCGTTTCTACCAATCCGAGTTATTCCATTTTGTTTAATGCATTGGGTTTTTTCTGCACTTCCTTTCAGTTCTTAGTTTGATTTCTGTCTGGTACTTGTTTTTGCGAAGTATATTGGAAGTAATTTGTAGTTAGACCTGGTAACCCGTTTAGGTTCAGCATGTTTTTTATGTTTCTTCTGTTGCCATCTCTGAAGTCACCAGCCCCAGCACACAATTTCCATAACATACTTTAAGACGAGTTGTGACCCCTGAAGAGCGCGCCTGGTATTATCTCAAATTGGATCCCACTTGGATTTTTACGTGGGTGAATAATGAATACTTTCAGGTAAAGGTACTGAATAATAACATAATTTTACATGGTGCTCTGTCAGAAGACAATTAGTTTGTTTTAACGGGGCCCCTTCCACAATACTGACGACCTTTACTGTTGCTCTGCCACCTTCAGCAGGCCAATGTCCCTCCATTGCACAGCATTGGAGTCTTGTAGGCGAGTTCTCAATTAACTTGAGTGCATGTTTATCATACCTGTAAGGATGACGGCTGGCTATCACTGTAGGCTCTGCCATGTATTGTAGTCGGACAACCAAAAGAGTACATCTCTTTATCATCCTACTACATGGTGTAGGGCCTCTGCTCCCTTGCCTCTTTATCATTGACCTTGCCTGACTCGATGATCTGTCCTGTGTGTTGCCGAGTTGGCCTGTCATTACATATCCAACCCGCATAACCCATATGGCCAGCTGGCAATCCTCCCCACCCCCCTGGAAAGTCCCGCAAGAATGAAGGCGTCGCCAATTAAACGACAAATTCATGACACTTTTGCAACGGGAAGGAGTGAGGCATGTGACACGCTGTCCTCAGTTTCCCAGACTTTCACGACGCCGAGGAATTGAACAAATTAGTTATGCTGACGTGGAACGAATATGGTCTGATCTGGACGACAGTGAGCTTCCAATGAGAGGGTAGCCACAGCATTTCCAATGATGGGGAGATTTGGCAGCTTGTTTGGCATGTGAGATATTTGTATGCTTTTTGAAGATTGCATAATTTATTTATATCTTCCCACTAAAGGAATTTTGTGTGTGGATTCGCAGTTGTGATAAAATGATTTGGCTTTACCTATTACTAAGGGACCACATGTGACATATAATGTTGATTAGTTTATCATCCAATAAAGAGAATCTTGCCAAAGTAATAAATTAGTGTTTTTTTTGCAACACAAAGACACGTTTTTCATACACAAAGACAGTTGGAAACAAATTTGTTTTATGTTAAATACGTGGTTAGAGAGGAAGGTTTATTTACACATTACATTTTTCTACAGCCCAGACCTCAAATTCCTCATAAGTCTCAACAACATTTGCAACTTCGAAAAAAATATCTAGGACATATGTATTTCCTTCCCAGTAAACATGAAGATGTGTAACACAAGAATTTGGGTCTTTGAAATGTCAGATACACATGAGATGACAAGGCCAGATAAGGACAGAAAAAGAATGAGGGGGGAGGGCTCTGCCGTTCTGGCAGAAATGTTGGGGGAGTTGTTAGTCTGGTCCACCCGATTGCTCTGCCACGTCAGTCCATCGACCTAGCTCTCATTACGACCCTCCGATGGAGGATCTTATGGGTTTTGGGTCCCCCATTCACACACGTTGCTTGTGGTGAGTGGGTGATACTGTGAAACCCTAATCCCTGTTCCCAGAAATGGACCTCTCTTTGTTGGTTATAAAATGCATTAAAAGAACCAATTATGGGCATAATTTTTCGCATATATATATATATATATATTATTTCACAATATTTTTTTATCCTTAATTTTATAAAATTTATATTATAAAGATAAATTTCACTGATATAGAGAACCCTATTTGTGTTGCAAGAACCTCCAAAACCTGTCTCCAAAACCTCTACTTTCTAACAAAATATCTCAAAGTCATTTACTTCTTGAACTTACATTCAATATGTTTGTTAGTAGTATTGTTAGTTGTCATTGTTATGTTATCACTTGATATACATGTGACTAAAAGTTTGATTCTACAAAAGTAAATATGCAAATATGTAAACAGAACCCAATATGTTAACATTTTGGAGCTTTGGTTGTAATAGAAAGGTACCTACCTAGTATATATTATAGTATGAATAAAAATTGTATAATCGTATTTTAGTAAATCCTTAACCTTGTCTAATTATTTAGAAACATTTTTGGTATTAAAGCACATATACATTTAAATATGAATTAGATATTATATTCAAATTTTAGAATTGGAAGTATATCTCTATTTTAATGAAAAAAAAATTATAATATAGAAATAAAGTCGATTATAATTTTAAATATTCTTAAGAAAATTATTATTAAAAATTTATGATTTATGATTAAAAAATATAATTTTTTTAAAAAATAGTTATAATAAAAATCCTTATATATATATATATATATATATATATATATATATCAAGGACAAAAACTTAAAGAATGTAAAAAAAAAACAAGTGAGATATTTCTCAAAGAATGATAAAATAAATAAACAAATAAATTCATAAATTCAAGAAGAAATTAAAATAACTATTGCCAAAGATTAAGAAACTAAAAACTCTTAAAACTAGATTAGAAGCAAGAATAGAGTTGACAAGAGTGATGAAGAATTTCTAATAATATTACCAAACATCAAAAATTTCTTCGAAGGTCATAATACCAAACACACAATGTTTTATTCCATAATTCAATAAATAATATTTTTTGAATTGAATCTATTAATTGTTGATTCTTTATTTCTTTAATACCACAAATATAAAGAAATTACAATCAATAGTAGATGTTAAAATATAATTTTTATTAAACCTCATTTCTTTTATATTAAGAAATTGCTTGAATCTTCATCTTGATTTTGATGGTTGTTGTCAATATAAAATTTTGACCTTCTCTATTGAATTTATAAGATTTTTTGATGACTTCTATGTGTATTCATTAATATCATATCCATGCTAATGTACACGATATTTCAATCTATTTTGAGGATGCCTTAAGTCTAAGACTTCTTTAACTTCAAATTATTGATTGTTTTTTGCTTTTATGAAAAAATGTAGCATTTGTCTTTTTTTTGAAATATTCATTGTCTTGTAAGGCTTAAGAAGAGATACATGGAACATAAGATGTAGCTTCAAACTTTGATAGGTATTATTAATAAGCAAGTAAATTGATTTTTTCATAAATAAAAAATTATCATAGTATATATTCTCATATTATAAGAAAACTTTGCAAATTGACAAAGAATTGTCAAACTATCTTGATAGTGGTTAATAATACATTTCAAATACTATTCCAATACTTGATTCACTTGTTCTATATATACATCAATTTGAAGATGAAAAGCCAAAGATAATTTTATATCCATCTTCAATATTTTTAAAAATATTTTCTAAAATTTTAATATAAATTGGATCTTTTATAATATTTAATATCCTTTGGCAATGTATAATGATAATAAATATTTTCAAATAAAATTTTAGTTATTTTTTCTCTTATAATAGATTTTTTACATAGTATAAAATGTACCATCTTAATAAAACAATCTACTATCATGAATGTAAAGTGAAAAAAGTTTGATATTATAAGATCTTTAATAAAATCCATAGATACAAAAGAACATGGTTGTTTTGATATAGTTAATAGTTAAAAAAAATTTTGCAAGATCAATATCACTGATTTTTAGATTTTGAACAAGTATCACATGATCGTACAAAATGTTCAATTGCCTTTGACATTTGAAGCCACCAAAAAACTTTTTGAAATTAATTTTAAGGTCTTGATGTATTGACAATGTTTTGTAGTTGGAAAGTTATGTAGAGCTTAAAAAAATCTATAATTATGCTTCAACTTTTGAAACATATAAACGTCTTTCAAAATAAAGTAGAGTGTTCTTGAACTCAAACTAAGAAGTATCATGAGATTAAAAAAAAATTACTTAATATAAAAAATAAAAAGATATGAGAAATATTTAATTAGACTTAATTAAAAAATATTAAATTAACAATCAATGTTATTTTTCTTGTTTCAAGAAGAAATTTCTTTTGCTTCATTAAAATTATTTATTGTTGATCCAAAAGTTGCATTTCTTTCTTTAATCATAATAAAAGAATGTCTAAAAATGATATTTTACAAACCTTATTATATGTTTAGTCAATAATTTATATTGAATTTACATCTTGACAAAAACAAGCTCCAACAAGCTTGGCAATGATTTAAAAAAAGTGTTGACATTAAATACTTGAGGTTCTTGTAAATTGTATGAATAGCCGCTAAACTTGAAGCAACTTTTAAATAATAGTGTCATTCTTAAAATCAATCCGTGATTGTAAAAATTTCTTTGTGGTAGATCTTGTAGCTAATCTCTTTTGCTGAAATTTTTCTTAAAATAAAAGCTATTTGATGAAGTTAATTATTTATTCCAATTTATGAGAATATTACACCTAAGACCAAGCTTGACGTATCTATCTCCATAAAAACAATTCTTAGAAAAACCAACACAATATAAGATTGGTGCAAAAATGAAAGTTGTCTTTATAGCTTTAAATATTCTTTTAGCTTTGTTATTCCACTCATTTTTTAAAAAAAATTCAAATGTCTAAGTTGAGGTACAAATTGAAAAAAAAATCTTAATAAAAATCCAAAAGTGATTAAAAAATTCCAAAAAATAATAAACATGCCTTCTTATTCTTCAAATCTTTTAATCTATGATAGTTTAAACTTTCTTAGAACTCATCATATAACTATCATTTGAAATGATGTATCTTAAAAATTCAACTTAAATAATATAAAATACACACTTCTTCATCTTGGAATATAATCTTACATCTAAAAGTTTTTGTAACATATAAAAAACATGAAGTTTATATTATTTTATGTTTTTAGAGTAGATTATATTGTTATTTAGATAACACATGAT